GCCGGCCGCGTCCCCGCCCGGCCTTTGTCACCATCCTGGAATCCCCCACAGAGCCTGGGGACCCCTGCGTCCCTGCGCGCCCGACCTCGGGAACGCTCGGGCGCTATCGGGGACGTTCGGGAGCGATCGGAGCCGTTCGTGTTCCCTCGGCCCGGCCCGCATCCTTCACTTGGCTGAGCTCCGGACCGTTATGCTCCGCGGTCCCCTCCCCCACCTGGGGGCGGAGCCCGCGGACCGCGGAGGGATCAGGAGGGGGAGGGGCGCTCGGAGCGCAGAAACTTTCCCGCTCGCCGCGCCACGGGGCTTCCTGCACCCCTGCGCACCTCGAGGGTCCTGGGACTGAAAGGGGCCCGTGCCACGCCCACCATGCACCCCACGACTTCACACCTGGGCCCCTCTTGCACCCAGGTCCCCAGCAGACGTGCATCTCGCTCTGTCTCCTGCCTGCCTGCAGAGCTCGGCTCTCCAGACTCCTAAAGCAGGGGTGTGTGTCGTAGATAAAGCATCCTGCAAGGTTCAGGCGGGCATGCAATAGGCGTCGATGCGGCTGCGACTTCGTTTTAGTTTTTGCAGGGGTAGTAGCGGCGGGGCTGGGAAAGTGTATTTGGGATTTCACTTGGGGTGTCCAGGTTGGCAACCTGGAGGGAGGCGGGGCTGGGGTTTGATGGGAACAGACAAGGGTGTGCAGCTTGGGAGGAACAGCATGCAACAGCAGGACAACTCAGGCAAGGGATGGGTCATGGCGGATGTAGATGAGAGCCACAGAGGATTCTAGAGAAGAATTGAGACCTAGCTATGATGGAGTGGAGGGAGGTTGCCTTGGGGCCTGAAGACTGAGTTGTTGGGGCCATATGTGAGAAGGGGGCATCTGGTAGGGGCCCAACGCTCTGAATCATGGTAGTAGGGAGAGACTGTAGGATGGGCAAAGGTCCCTGCAGGTCAGGCCAGCAGCCCGGAGGACATTCCTCAGCACAGGGGTTGGTACCCAGAGAAGGTTGGGTACTCCAGCCCAGCCCTTTGGAGACAGCAACCCCCTCTCTGAGCCTCAGTTTCCTTAACTAGTAGGTGTGATTGGCAGTTCTCTGGGGCAGGGCTTGGTGCTCAGGAGTCTCCCACCCACTCCTGACCTTCATGTCCAGTTCTCCATAGATCTGTAGTAATTAAAACAGGTTCTGGCCTGAGGGACTTGTTGGCTGCAGAAGTGGTGCCCTGTGGGGACGTTGCCTACTGGCCGAGCAGGTTCCACTGCACACCCCTCCTAGCTGACACCCCATTGATTGGGGGGACGCCCCTACACCCTAGAGTCTCTTTCCAGCATCTCCCAGGGACGGAACATGAGAGTCATGGTACTGTGGGGCACCAGCTTTCTGTGCCCCCAAGTCTGGGGGAGGTGTGTCTGGGCTCCAGGAGACACCCCTTGTTTGGGTGACCCAGAGCCTGTGTTACCCAGCCTGGATTATAATCACCCTTTTATGCTCCTGGGCCGCGTGGGCACACAAAGCCGGCTCCAGGCCCTCGTGACCTGTGGTCTGGTGCCTGCTTGTTCCTCAGGGTGCAGCATGGGAGTCTCCATAAGTGGCTGGCCCAGCAAGGCTCAGTCCAGACTCCTCGCAAGCTCACACCCTGAGGCAGCCCTGGGGAGCAATAATGCCTCCCTGAGCCTCAGTTTCCCCTTCTGTAAAGCAGGTGCGACCTGCCTCTAACCAGCTTTTGAGAACAGTGGGGGTCCTTGACTAGTGGCTAGATGGCTGTCCAGGGCCTCAGTTTCCCCAGCTGATAATGATGGATTATGTTACATCCAGTTGTGTGTTTAAAGGCCCACTTGGGTGACACAGTGCCCTCCCCCTTGGAACTTTCTATCTGTATGGGGATGGTGTGTGAACTTCCCTCAGTTGCTATTTTCTGCCTCTACCCCACATCCCAGTCCTCCCAGGCTGTGGGCTTGCTTGGTTCCTCAGTTTCCCCCAGAGGCTCTTCTAGGGCTTGTCTGAGCGGCGTGGGCTTGACTGCTCCTGTCCTTGCTCTAGCCACACACAGAGGCACCTTAGCTGGGGCTGATGCCAGCAGCCTGTCCCAGGCTGGCATGGCTCTTCTTCCTGAGTGTTCAGGGCTGCAGGGTGGGTCCAGGGCAAGAGGCTGATCCGGGACTTTGTCTGTTCCTCTAGTTGCCAGGAGATTGGGTCCATGGGTGTTGTGTACATTCTGAGTGTGTGGGCCTGTGTGTGGACTGCTACCACTGTGGGGGAAGGGACGTGGTGGGGGACACCCAGCAAGCCATGTCTGCACCCTTGAAAGGTTTACTGACCCTCACTGTGTGTCTGACAGCTGTGGCCCTACTGTGTGCATCCCACTGTGGTCCTGGGTGTGAATCCCTCCCCTCCATGTACCTCTGTATATTAGACTTGGTGGTCTGACTCTGTTCAGAATTGGACTGGGCACACAGGTGGGGGCGTCCTCATCTTGGCAACCTGACTGTGAATGTCAGGGTCTGATGTCTCTGTATGGCCACAGCCTATGCCCAGGTCCACTTGCCATCTGACTGTGTTCCCTGGGTCTGCCTGCAGCCTGAATATGTGCCTAGGTCTGTCTACTGTCTGACTGGCCGTGTGCGTGCCTGTGTAACTGTGGTCTGACTGTGTGTGTATTAGCCCCCTCTTGCCGTCCCCCATCCATGCCCTCCTGGCTCACACTAGGCCATCAGCTGGCCACTGCACGCCCTGCCCTCCTCTAGGGCTGGGTGAGGCAACCACAACTGAGTATTTTGGGAGACAGGATCACAGGGTCACCCTGCCATTATGTGCCTCTCTCCTCCCCAGGGCCACAGCCTGGGCCCTCCTGGGGTGTGGTGGTCACACTATCTGACCCCTCCTTGGTCTTTCCATCCCACTGCCTTAGCCTGAGGCAGAGTGTGAGCTTCAGGATGCTGGTTTCAAGGTGTGCCTGAGGGTTGCTGCACCCAGGAACTTGGGTCTTTGTGGGTGGGCTCGAGACTGGAGCCCATGTGGGATATTGGGTAAATGCCACAGAACCATATCTGTCATTTCCTGCCTGCACAGTGGACTGGCTCCATGAGCTGAGATTCACCCAGTCGGGGAGAGACAGTACTAGTTATCCTGGGGACTCTGGGAACTGTGGCCAGTGTTAGGTCAGGGTAGGGAGTGTTGAGGCAAGTAATGGGTTTCAGCTGGTGGTTAGAGACTTAGCCCACATTGGCCTCTAGAGGCCAGAAAGTCAAGATTCAAGCTTGGCAAATTCATTGGGTGGGGCTCAGTGTGAGGGTGGAGGTGCCCACTCTGACTTCTACTCCAGGACAGAGAAACTGAGGAGCCAGAGGTGGAAGGGTCAGGAGTTTAAAGTCATTGGCTACATAGCAAGTTGTGGGGCAGCCTGGGCTACAAGAGATGCTGTCTCTAGAAACTGCTGTGCCCAACTGGGTCAGGGCAGTGATCCCATACAGATCCACCCGTGGGTCCCTGGGTGTGGCTCCCTCTCCCAGACCACTTGCATGGAATCCCTGGGTTCCCACTCCCCACTCACTGCTGCTCTATTGTTCCCACAGACGCTGCCCCTCTGGACACCTTGGCTTGAGGCCTGTCTGTGAGGGACGGGGGCGCCGTCCCCCACCAGGGCAGAGGCCAGAGGCCACTGCCAAGCATGGCGCCCACCTGGAATCCCAGTGTGGTGTCCATGGTAGGTCCCGTGGGGCTCTTCCTCATACTGCTGGCCAGAGGATGCTCAGCTGAAGGTGAGAGGCCAGCCTGGAGTGGGGTGGACCTGGCCGTGTGTCTGTTCTAGGGTGTGTGTACGTGTAGCTCCCCAGCCCAGGGCTTCCCAGTGTGACCCAAACAGAACTTGCATGTTCAAGGAAGAGGCTTGGTGCCTAGATGTGTGAAAGGGTGTATACAGCAGAGGTGATGCTGGTGTCAGGTAATGGTGATTGACTCCTGAGTGTCCACTGCACCAGTGTCAGGTGAGGTCTGACCAGGAGGAGCTGAGGCAGACTTTTAGGAAAGAGGGCTTGGGGGCCAGGGTTTTGTAGGTGTATAAGAGTCTGCTGACATTCCTGGTGGAGTTGACTGACCATGGAAAAGTCTGGAAATAAAACATGTTGATGGATCTGGAGTGGTGGTGCATGCCTTTAATCCCAGCACTTTGAGGTCAGCCCTGGCTGGTTAGTGAGACCCTGTCTAAGAAAACCTAAACAAACCAAAAAATAGGTGGGAGAGATGACTCAGTGCTTAGAGCACCAACTGCTCTTCCAGAGGACTTGGGTTCAATTCCCTGTAACCATCTAGAGACTCACAAACATCTGTGACTCCCATTCCAGGGGATCTGACGCCCCCTTCTGGCAACCAAGGGTGCTGCATGCAACCACACAAATCTTTTAAGGGGAGAGTGGTGTACTTCAGACAAAGTCAGGGTCTCATTTTACTTACTGTTAAGATGTATACAGAGCCTCAGTTTGGGCTTGACACCGAGATCCATCATCACATAGGAGACCCCCTACCCAAGGGGCTTTGGAGGGTAAGGGCAGGCTAAACCCCTTTCTTCATAGGAAGTATGGCGGAGGCAGAGCTGGTGATGCAGTTGCAGAGGGCAGGCACTGGGGACCCTAATGACTGGTCCAGGAGGTGCTGAGGAAGGCAGTGGCCTTGGACAGGAGTCCCAGCCTAGGCTTGGTTGCTTGTGTGACAGGTGCAAGCCAGGTCTGGTCTCCACGGCTGTTCTGCCTGGAGCTCAGAACATGGGTCTGTCCTGCTGGAAGCCCTTCACCTGGAGCCTAGATGCTCACGGGCACCCTGGCTAGTGCAGCAGTGTTCCATGGGTTCAGATTGTCAATTTCTGATACAGAAATGGCTCTGGGTCCAGGGGACCCCAGGTCATTCCTGTGGGCAGCAGAAGAGGGGCCCCAGGAATAGTCACCTCAGTGCTTGGACCTGTCATGGGCTAAGGGGAAATGGAGACCTGGGTTGTCGGGTTTTTTTTGTTTTGTTTTGTTTATTTATTTATTTTTTTGGTTTTTCAAGACAGAGTTTCCCTGTGGCTTTGGAGGCTATCCTGGAACTAGCTCTTGTAGACCAGGCTGGCCTCGGACTCACAGAGATCTGCCTGCCTCTGCCTCCTGAGTGCTAGGATTAAAGATGTGCGCCAGCAACGCCCGGCGCTGGGTTGTCATTTCTGAGTTCTCTGGGGGAACCTTGTGGAAACCCATTAGTACCCCCAAATCTGTAACAAGGGAATACATGCAGCAGCCTGGACACTGGGAGCTGTGAGTTGAGAGCCTCTTATGGGGGGGGAGGCTGGTCAGCCCCTGTGGCAGCCACACCTGTTGATAGCTCACACACACATACACACACATACACACACATACACACACATACACACACATACACACACATACACACACATACACACACATACACACACATACACACACATACACACACATACACACACATACACACACATACACACACATACACACACATACACACACATACACACACATACACACACATACACACACATACACACACATACACACACATACACACACATACACACACAAACACACACACACACACACACACACACACACACACACACACACCCCATGCCTTTCCCAGTTCCCTTCTTGTTGGGTGCTTAGGTTGCATCCCCAGCTTTGCTTTGGGGACTTCTGAGGAAGATATTGCAGCTCAGCTGTTATTAATGTACTGTGTCCAGTCCTGGGGCAAAACCAGACTGCTACCAAGCAGCCAGGCTTGCATCAAAGCTGGGCTCCCAGCCTTCCTCAGAGGCAGGGAGTGTGCAATGGATCTGCTTGAGGCTCTCTGGATGGAAAGCCAAGCCCCTTCCCAGGCCTGCACCCTGGCTCACGCCACTCTCCAGTGCTCTAGGTTCAAATACTGACTTTAGTCATCTTTTACATTTCTATTTGGGTATTCATTTGCATATTAATTACTATTGTGAATATTAATTGCTACTGGAATCAGAGGGCTTAGTGGCAAGCACCTGTACCTGCTGGGCCCTTTAGCTAGCCCTTAAACTCAGTGCCTTAGTTTCCCCACAAGTCTAATTAAAGAATTAGGACACATTTTGTTCCTTTTGGGGGTGAGTCCATGTATAAAAGGTCATCACTGAGGCATCTCTGGGGGCTCAGTGTGGGGACCCTAGTCTCTGAAGGGTAATGTGCGCGTGTGTGAGCATGTGGGAGGCGTTTCCTCCTGTCTGTCAACCTCTGTTGGTCTCTAGTCTTCAGCCCTCCCCTCTTTTTGCTGAACCCCCAGAGCCTCCCAGGTTTATAAAAGAGCCCAAGGACCAGATCGGTGTGTCAGGAGGCGTAGCCTCCTTTGTGTGCCAGGCCACGGGTGATCCCAAGCCACGGGTGACCTGGAACAAGAAGGGCAAGAAAGTAAACTCACAGCGCTTTGAGGTGAGCTGGGGCCAGGATGGGGGTGCCTTCCACCCAGCACACCCATTCACGGAGGGGACAGTGGCTGAACCTCAGGGTGCACCCCTCTTCCTGACGCCACAGGCTTCCCTAGTCTATTACTCAGTGCCGTGTGTCCTCAGGCAAGGCCATCTTTTCTGAGTCTAAACTCACAACCTCACCTGGGACAAAAATGCACACAGCTGAATACACACGTGACTATAGACACACACGTGTCCATGCCCTGTAATTAGTGTAGAGTAGGTGGGTTTCAGGCTCAGCTCCATCCAGGCACTTAGTCAGCGTGGTTACGTGTGCATCTCTTGGCTCCTCTTCTTTCACTGTGACTGATCCTGGGTGGCATCTTGTGTGCACACTCACGTGTGCCCACCTGCACACATGGGACTCCCTTGGCTCACGGACACCATGAATCTGGGGTGGCTGCTGCCCCCACCCCTGCAGCACAGTCCTGCTGGGGTGAAACCTGGCCTGGACCTGCCTCACTGTCACCTATCCCATTCCCCATGTGTGTTTCTCCCATTGTGTGTCTCTGCCCTGTGTCCTGCCCTCCCCACCCTCTTGCCACCCCGCGCCCTCCCCACAGACCATTGACTTTGATGAGAGCTCCGGGGCGGTGCTGAGGATCCAGCCACTGCGGACACCCCGGGATGAGAACGTGTACGAATGTGTGGCCCAGAACTCGGTGGGGGAAATCACAGTTCATGCGAAGCTGACCGTCCTCCGAGGTACCACATGCGGCCCGCGCGCCCCCATCCCCCAGGCTCACGGAGGAGGGAACAGACTGCACACTTTGTTCCCAAGCCTGGAACCCTCCTCATTGCCTGTTGTTTTGTTCTTTAAGGACTTGGGTTTCTCTGCCCCCCAACACTGCCCACCCCCGTGGTTTGTGTGGTTTAAAATGTCTGCAGTTGATGGGCTTCAGGTTCAGCCTGATCGAGGTGCTCAGACAGTGCTCTCTGGTCTCTGTCCCTCTGTCTCTGTGTCTCCTGTGATCCTCTGTCCCAGTAAGCTTGGGTCACAAGTGCCTTACCACTCAGGAGCAGATAGCCATGGTTGGTCTCACATCTGCTTGGAGCTACCAGTAGGCCAGCCCCCACAGAAGAACTTAGCAAAGGGTGGGTCCCCAAAGGCAGGACAGATAACTCATGCCCTGGCTCAGTCTAAGGGACACTAAGATGTTCCTTTAACACGGGCATCAAACAACTGAGTTCAGATCCTGAGGCAGCTGCATTGGAGCTTTGTGACTCCAGCAGGGTTAATGAACCTGTCAGAACTGGGGTGTCGCCGGGCATTGGTGGTACACACCTTTAATCCCAGCACTCAGGAGGTAGAGGCAGGTGGATCTCTGTGAGTTCGAGGCCAGACTGGACTCCAGAGAGAGTGCCAGGACAGGCTCCAAAGCTACACAGAGAAACCCTGTCTCAACCCCCCCACCCAAAAAAAAAAAAAAGAACTGGGATGTCTGCCTCTTAGGGACATTGCATTTATAGCCATGAGCATTTCCCTGGGCATCGCAGGTCCCCAGTGGCTCTCTCCTAAAGCTGGGACACAGGACCAGTCACATTGGTGGGAGCTCTGAGCCACCCCAGGGCACTGTGCATTCTGGGAATTCTCTGTTTTCTAACAAGGGGCCCCACAGTGAGCTCTGTGACTGTGGGTAGGGGCGGAGCCAGGCATAGTCCACACACTCCAGGGCTCCTCCTCCCCCTTCTCTCTTTGGGATATTTTTTGCCTTGACCTTTCCCAGCACAGACTCGGCAGCCAGCCTCCTGCTGCCCTGTGCCAGCCTTATTGTCAACACTTCCAGAGCTGGGACTCACTCATCCATCACACACTGATCACTGGGAGTCTGGAAAGATTCTCGCACCCCCTTGAGCTTCAGACACCCTGGCCACCTCCCTTTGTTCTTTGACCATTGCCTGCCCCCCCCAGGCCCCAGGACACCCCCCTTCTGCCTGCTGTGGGCTGCCAGAGCCAATGCCATTGTGCCTGTCTCTCTACTTCCTGTCCATCTGATTATGACCAGGGGGTGTGAACACTGAGGAGTTGGGCACAGTGTGGCATGTGGGGACACTGGGAATCGGGCCCCTTCCCAGCTCTGTACCCCAGCTGGCTGCTGTAGCATCCATATAAGCGTGGGACCCTTCTGGGCTGTCTGGAGCCTGCTACATCTTGGGTTGAGTTCTCTACCAGGACAGTTGCTTCCCGTCCACTTCTTTCCTCAGCCACCTTCACGGTGCCCACCGTCTAGTCCTTCTGACGTCGTATTCCAAGCCGATGACTGTTACATCCCCTTTCACTCATGGCGTCCCAAGAGCTTCTGAGGCTCCAGGCTTTTCTCTCCAAACACCTTCAGCCACAAGCCAAATGGCTCCCGTTGCAAACACCAATTTTGGTGTCATGGCCGGTGGGACATGCCACAGATGACAGGACCACCTGTGTGAGAGGCTATGACTGTCACACTGTCAACATAGCAGATGGTCCCCCAAGCTCTTGGTCCCTGGGTTATCGGTCTTTTTTTATACAGCCATTTAGGGACATGTCTGGTGACCCCCGTGCCAGCTCTTGTGTCCTGCACAGGCCTCTTGCAGTGTTCCATTTCCACCTGGCATCCCCAGGGAACAGCAGATACCCCTGGGGCTGGGGTGGCTCCATGTTGTCCCCACCTCCTGCTCTCCTGGTGGCCCCGGCTGGGCTCAGGGTCATGCTCCTCTTGCCTCTCCTTCCTGGGTAATGGGGTGTCAGATTGGGATTCTGCAGGGACACAGTCATGTCTCAGCAAACTGGGTTTGACATTCTGAAGGAGACATTTGGGTTCTGAGAAATTCTGGAAGGATCTAGACCACATCCACTTGTTCCAGGGGACGTTTGGGTGGAGGCAGGAGGGGACTGCAGAAGTATGTGGCCTGGGCCCAGGAAAGGGTGTGGCTGCTCCAGATGAGAGGCTAAGGGGTCTGTGTTGGTGTCACCACTCCGTGAAACCCAGTGTCCCAGTCTCTAGCTGTAGAGACCAGCATGGGGCCCTCCCAGGGGCAGTGTTAGCCCAGGTCAATAAGGTAATGGGAAACCGTAGCAGGCGGACAGAGAGCCCTCTGTGCTGGAGTCAGGCCTATGACTCCAGCTCTGCCCAAGCAGCCATGAGGTCTCAGGGACATGAGCCACAGAGGGTGGCGGACTGGGACTGTGGATGCCCAGGGTGCATCCTAGCTAGGGATGTTTCTTGCAATAACCATATTCCTTTCCCGTTTTCTTCCTGTCTCCACACCTCCAGAGGACCAGCTACCCCCTGGCTTTCCCAACATTGACATGGGTCCCCAGCTGAAAGTTGTGGAGCGCACGCGCACAGCCACCATGCTTTGTGCTGCCAGCGGGAACCCTGACCCCGAGATCACCTGGTTCAAGGACTTCCTGCCTGTGGACCCCAGTGCCAGCAATGGGCGCATCAAGCAGCTTAGATCAGGTGGGCACAGGTGGCTGATGGGAATGCGGGTGTCATCGAGGGCAACAAACAGCCCATGCCTTGGGCCTGGTGGGGAATAGGCCGGTAGTGATCCAAGGATGGAACACATGGAGCACATGGAGCAGAGATCAGGCCTAGCACCCAAACCACAGGATGCCACAGAGTCCCACCGTGGGATCAGGGCTCTGGGACTTGATAGTGTGCATTGTGGGTGAGGATAGCTATAGCTGATGGGTAATTGCAGAGCACCAGTCATGCAAGTAGGCAGGGTGATGAGGACCCTAGCTCCAGGGTGTGTTAATAGGATGTGGTCAGTTAAGGTAATGGGGAGCCATAGAAGGTAGTAGAGACAGAGACAGACAGATAGACAGACAGACAGACAGACAGAGACACGAATAGTGATAGAGCAGTCAGTGGGCTTCAGGTGTAGGGAGCCTAGGGGAGCTGGGTATGGTGGTGACCGAGGGTTTGCAATGCCAGGAGAGATGGAGGGTCACCAGCAGGCAGGGTAATGGGGGCCACAGAGGCTCCTGGGAGTGTCCCTGGTGCTGAAGGTGTCAGAACCAAGCAGTGTTGACGAGTGTCTGTCATGGTTCTAGCCAGTCTGGGGAGGCCAGGCCTTGGGACTAGTGAGGCTTGGGTGGTTTACAGTGTTGTCTCAGCGGAGACTCCATTTGGCCCATTGATGAGTCTGTGTTCCCTGTCACTTGTCTGTCTGTGTGCGTGTGGCTCCCTGAGTGGGGAGCCCTGCCTCCTGTGTGCAAAGTGCAGGGACTGGGCTCTCTGCCACATGTGTGCCTGCTGGCCCGAGTGTTGTCTGTGTTCCCCGTCTCTTCACATTCTCACTCAACCCCCTCTCCTCCCCGCAGCCTCCCCGTCGCAAGGCCATCCCTTGTCCTCAGGGTAACCATTCTGTGCCCACCCCCCACCCCAAAGTTCCCTGAGACGGTTGCCCAATGGCAGCCACACAATCCGCTCACATCACAGGGGAGCCCTCGCACTCTGAGGCACCTCCTGGCCATCATGTGGCCATGGTCCAGGGGTGACAGCTAAACACTGTATAAATATACCACCCTGGGACCTGCCCTGTACCCTGTAGTCCCCGTCCTCCCTTGGGCCCATGAGCGGCTGGATGCCCAGTGGCCACCCTTTAACCTTCTTCTCTCTTCTCCTGCCTCTGTGTAACGCTCAGAAAGCTTCGGTAAGTCCTCACTTCTCTGCCACACCAACCACTAACAGTCCTGCCGCCCTCCACCCCTACACTAACAGCCACCGTGACGGTAACTGACCCACTGCGTGTGGCATGTATACTAACGCCCTCTCCTGCCCCCCCATGGTGGGCTGAAGAAAGACCCCACCCACAAGGAAAAGAGGAAAAATGCCACCTGACCCCAGGCTGGGGGACCTCACACTTCACGAGCCCCCGCTCTGAGCTTCCTCCAGTGCTCCAGTAGAGATGGGATTTAATGCCAAAGATGCTGTGTGGAACTGGAACATTCATTCTGAAACCAGCTGCTGGGTTAATTCTTGCTAAAGTTATAGTGACTGATGCAAGCACTCTAGAAGCCCTGGGCTTTAAACCCAGTACCATCAAAATAAAGGTGGAAAAGGAAATGAGGTACCTTTTCCCTTAAGGGGGTGGCAGTGTGAGCAATGCCCTGGCGCCTCCTCCCGCCACTGTAACCCACGAAAAGCTAGTGTTCCATTATGACCACTCCCGACTCCCACCACACAGTTAACAAGTTCCCATTGGCTCCTACTGACAGTGGGTGGAGCAGCCTCAAGGGGGTGTGATGTCTCTATGGGGCTTGATGGTTGCACCTTTAACCCCAGCACTTAGGAGTAAGAGGCAGGAGGATTGCAATGAGTCAGATGACAGTTTGGTCTACATAGTGAGTTCCAGGCCAGCCAGGCTGCATAGACCCTGTGGGAGGGAGGAAGAGGCAGGAGTCAGGATGCATGGCCACAGCTCAGAAGGTGTGAGACATGGTGTCCAAGCCCCACCGCCTTCTGCCAAGAGACTGCCTGAGACTGGCCCTGACTGCCTCAGTTTACCAGACCGTGCAGCAGTCCTGGGCTAGCTCTTATGGCTGCTGCTGGCTTCGGCCCTGACAAATGGCATAAGGCTGCATGGGCACCCCCAGCCTGGAGCCTTCTCTTCCCTGGGCATGGCCAAGCCACAGACAGCTTTTTCCTCTTTTCCTTCAGAGTTGAAGGAGGCAGCAGGGTTCCCTCCACCCTCGGCTCCCTTCCCACAACTCCCTCTCAGCCTTGGTGATACCCAGCCCCACCTCACCAGTGCCCAGCCCTCTGGAGCTAACTCCTGTCCCTCCCTGGTCACTAACAAGACTCCTGGGACCCTCCTGCTACCCACCCCTCCCTATTTGGATTTCAAAGCAACCCCTTGCTGGAACCCCAAAGTAACCCGAGGGAGGAGGCGCAGTCTCCCTGGGACCTCACCTAGACCCAAGGAGGCCGCCTGCAGGAAGCGTCTGCCCCAAAGGCCCCCAGCCCCAGCCCTCATGAGGCTGACTGCAGCTCCACTGCCTGGCAAAGGGACAGGTGTGACTCCTGGCCCCTCGGCCCCCTCTCCTGTGACATTCACCTGTGTCTCTCTGTTTCCCTTACAGAAAGCACCCCTATCCGAGGTAAGAGGCCCACCCCTCACCAGCCGGCCCTCAGCTCTCAGTAGCCCCCACATCCGCCACATGGCTCCCTCACATCCCTCTGGTGTTTCTGTCTGTCTGTGGTTTGGGCCGAGTGTGGCTGCAGGGGACCTTGTGGGCATTCAGCTTCGGGGACAGGCAGTGCCTCTCATGCCCACCTGAACCCCTGCTCCCGCAGAGCCCTCGCCTCACGGCCATCTACCATGAGCTGCAAAAGGGCCTTCTAAGATTTAGGGGTATTCAGCCTGGAGGGTTCAGAGAAAGGAATTCTCCAAAGATCAGTCTGATAACTCATTTACCCAGGGCACATGAAAACAGACCAGTGCTGATGTGCTGTGGTATCTCAAACAGGTTTCCTACCCTCTCTGGTCTCTGCAGTAGCCTTAAAGTCAGTAGGAAGTATTCTATGGTGGCCATCCTCCACCACCACTCAAGAGAGGAGACATGAGGGTCTCTGGGCCCTGTCACTACTGGAGTACAGTGTCCATAAACCCAGAGAAAGTGAATAGGAAGTCTGGACCAGCAGGGTTTGGGAGCCCAGGGTTGCCGCACATGGCTGTCGCTGCATCCGGTTCAATAGGAGCAGGCCTGTAGTCTGACATCCTTAGCCAGGCTCTCTTCTCCAGTCTGCTGTAAATCAAGCATGGTGAGGCAGACCTTTGGTGGCAGGTGTGGCCGCCTCCATCTCACTTCTTTTAATTTGTAAGTGCTAAGCTGTTTCACCGAGGCTGAGATTTCAAGTCTCCCTGGCTTTGCTGTGAAGGAGCTACCTGGCTTTAGCCAGTTTGAATTACCCTTGGGGTAAGCATGGCCTTCTCCAGGCCCTGTGGTGTGCACAGCTCCCTCTTCGGAACCTCTGTGTTTGAATTTTGTTCTTTTGTTGGATTTTGGGGCGAGGTCTCCCATAGCCCAGGCTGATCTGAGGAGCATGTTATCTTCTGCTTGGGCATGCACCAGCCACCAGCCTGGCTCAGAGGGCTGTGACCTCAAATGTGGGTCGCCCTGGGCCCCGGGACCTGGAGTGAGGAGTTTCTGTCCCGAGGCCAAGGTTTGGGACTTATTAAAGTTCCTATGCTCTGTCCCGGGTTTCAGACTTGAGATCTGACCCAAGCCACTGTGTGTGTAGCCCCTATGTACTTCTCCCAGCAACTGTCAACCTCTACCCTGGGGGAGGATTGACCCTTTCCACTGACTGGCAGCTGCCCTAGGAGGGCGGGGCTGGGATCACCTGCAAGTCTGGTGTGGCCTGTTGGTTGGAAGGAGGCTGGGGTGGCCTCTGCCTCCTCCCATGCCCTGGGAGTGGCATTCTACAATGCTGTGCCCCATGGAGTCCCTTCATCAGTGAGCAGTTCAGATGTGACAGTGGGGTGCTTATCAGGCCTGGCCCCATCTCAGTGCTAGCCATCATGGCCAAGGTCCCATCTCCTGTCCCCGCAGGTGCCCTTCAGATTGAGAGCAGCGAGGAGACAGACCAGGGCAAGTACGAGTGCGTGGCCACCAACAGCGCTGGTGTGCGCTATTCTTCACCTGCCAACCTCTACGTGCGAGGTAGGGAACTCCGCCAGGCAGAGGCAGGGACCCACCGTCCCACCCTGTCCCATCCCATCCCTGGGCTCATGGCCTCCTGGCTCCCCTGTCCTGTGCTGCCCCGAGCAGGAAGGCCCTAACCCCATCCATGGGGTCACTGGAATGACAGTCACCGAACTGTGGGCCTCTGGGGTCATGCTGGTGGCAAGGTGGGTGGGTGGGGGTTGGTGGGCCGATCTCGGGCCTACAGGGCTGGGGGAGCCTGAGGGCCACTGCCCCCCTGCCACATCCCCACCCCCCAAGTTGGCTTGTGTGGTATGTGTGCCTCCTGTGTCCTGCTGGCTTCGCTTCTCTGAACCTGTGGCCTCGTGGCTCCCTGCTTCCCTTCCCCGTCCAGTGTCCTCTAGCGAAGACTGTGGGGAATGGGGTTTCCAAGCTGTCCTCCCACCCGGCATCCCAGAACCCAGTGCTCGTTCTAGAAGGAATAAACCCAGGCCGTGGGAGGCCAGGGCCACAGCTCACACCTGGGCCTGTGGCTTGGTGGCAAGACATGCCGCTGGGCCCTTGGGACCTCATGTGGATCTCAGAATCCCAGGCTCATGCCGTTATGGCTGGAAGCCTCGGGTCCTTGACGGCCGCCTCCCGTGCCTCCACCCGCAGGAGGCTTCCTTTGGACCCTTGGTGCACCCACATCCCAGGGGCACCCCGGGTACTCCTGTCTGCTTGTATCAGTTGGCCTGCTCACCTTCCTCCCCCAGCCTCAGTTTCCCTGCAGTGCCCCTGGCCTTCACCCCTCTCCACCCAGGGAGGCCGGCAGGCTGTCCCTCTCCCTCTAGTCCTTGCTTTCCTTGGCCCCTAGTCAACTCCTTTGGGTCCTGGCTGTGGGTTTTACATCTTGGCTCCAAGCAGGAGGCCGTATGGAGGGAGGGTGAGTGGGTGGGAGGGGGGCCAGTCTGATCTTCTGCCATCATGGCACCCGGGTGAGTTGCGGTCCCCGCAGGACTCCAGTGACCGGCCTTCATCTAACTTGCGTGTGTCTTGGTGGACACTGGGGATGGGGGGGTTGTAAATCTGGTAGGGCTCAGGAGAGAGGGGAAGGCAGGGGTGGAGCAGGGAGGGGGGAGCCCCTAGTGAGGGTGTGAGGAGGGAGGAGGGCCCTGTGTGTCCTGGCCAAGCCCCTCCCTGAGGGCAGGTGAGGGTCGGGAGAGTGAGTCAGCCCTGCTGGCTGTGCTCTGGCACTGAGCCAAGACAGGGAGATTTATGTTCTTTTTTCTTTCTTGATTTTAATTTCTTTTATTTTTTTGGTTTAAAGAAAGCAAGCGAGCGATTGCAGCCTTAGCGTGGGAAGTCCTCTTTTTACTCTCTGTATCTCCCCTATTTTTTCTCTTCTCCCCATGTCATTGTGCGCATCAAACCCCCTTTACATCCCTCAGAGCTTCGAGAAGGTTGGTGTGGTTTTTTTCTTTTTTACTTTCTTTACCCACATTTTTACATTCTGAAAAAAAAATTATAACAGTTGACACATGCTCACACACACCAGAAACACACGCAGACACCGCACAGACACACGCACACATGCACACAGAAAATGAATAGCAAAACAGACGTAAAGTGGAATGAGGTACCGAGCCTAAAGCAAACAACCCAGAAAGACACACAGAACGTAATGTCAGCCGCCGGCGCGGCTGGCACACGCGATGCTTGCATTGTGGTCGCCTCTGCATCCCTTGGTAATGTTGTTGCTAAGTTTTTTGCACTCCTCGTCGTCATGGTAACTTGGGCCTGATGCATGCTGGGAGAATGTAAAAAAATTTTTTTCTCTGCATGCCACTCCTGTCAGTTTGGTGGATTCCCGACCTTCTGTTGGAGTGTTTGTCTCCTGTTTGTTTTGTTTTCTTGATTTATTTTCTTATTTTTTAAAACTTTTTTTTATAAGTTTCGTTTTGGGGGGATTGATTGCCTCTTCCCACCCTGCTTCCCTTCACCAGATGCCTTCTCCCCCAAAGCGATGTCTTTGGTCCTGTCTTGTTTTGTGCTGTTTGGTTTTGGTTTTCTTGGCCTGAGCTGTTGTGGTTGTTACCAAACGCATTGTGAGTTCAAAGCCAGTGTTCCTGTCCCAGCTGTCACCCAAAGGGCGGATGGGGTCCCACAGCTGGGATGCTTTGATGAAAAGTGACCACTCAGGCACCAAAGGACAGGGGGGGGCACCCTGGTTAACTGGTTCCTAGTCGGGGAATTCCCTCTGGACTGCTGACAGGAGGGAGTCCCCAAGGGCGTTTCCCATCCTCCTGCCTCAGCCAGGGGCTGCCAGTGCCCCAGTTCCGGCTCAGTATCAGCCAATCTACAAAAGAGTAGGTGCCACAGCGCCAGAATCTCAAGCGCTTGGCAGGAAGTATAGAGTGCCAGCCTACAGTGGCTTCATGCATGTCGGCTGTGCTCATCTAGAACTGCCTATGGGGGTGTGTAATTGACAGACTTTCGGAGAATACTCGGCTATCGAGCTTGTCTGCAGCATGTGCCTCTGCCTCCCAGGCGATGTTATCTGCTGCTCCCTTCTCTCAGGCTCTGGGTATAATCACAAGTGTGTTGTCCGGCAGTGTGGTCACTTTCTGATCACCCGAAGCATCAGGGCTGTGGAATTCCCAAGAAAACCAGGGGTATTTTGGGCGTGGCCTCTCCCCGACTCTCTCTCTTTTCCCATTCTTCCCTCCCCCTTTGTTTGCCCCCCTCTTTCTAAACTTTCTTTTTTTCCTCTCTCTCTTAGCTCTGTCTTGCTCTCTCTCGTTCTTCTGAGATCCACACATTCACCATTTGTCCTATCCACAATAAAAAAACCCCATTAGTACCCGGTCTGCTCTCTACTTCTCTGCTCTGCTGGACAGCTGAGGGCCACCCCATCCCCCCACCCCCCGCCCAAGCAGGTTCACCCTTCCCTCCAGCCTCTTCTCTGCCTTCCGGGTTATTAAATCCAAAGCACTGTCAGCAAAAGGTCTCTAGATGCCTCCGGAAGGGATGTTGTTGCTCCCACTGTCAGCTTGAGCCCCAGCAAAGCAGGTCCTGGTACACTGTACCTGGGCGACAGGGCCCCGAAGGCCACCTGGGTTTGGAGAGCAGTGACACAGGCTGCGTGCACCCTGTCAGGTGCTGATGTCCACACATGTGACCTTGTCTGCTCATGGGAACTGTGAAGTTCCTGATTGCTCGATGGCTCTAAGAGCCAATGGCATCATGCACCCTGGGTGGAGAAGTTCCCAGGTACTCAGGGGAATTGAAAGGTGGGGAGGAAGGGCTCTTGAGCCCTCTCCACTGGGGACAGTGGCTCCTCAGGGCTACTGATGTCACTTTCCTCCTTGTGACTTTCTCTGAGGAAGTCCTGAGGCCCAAGAGACAGAAAAGGGAGCCTAGAGAGGCAAGGCCCCAGGCACATTAGTACCCACCAGGAGAGCAGGGCTGGCCTGTGAGGTCTGCAGAGGGACAGGAGCCTCCACCATTGCTAAGTCACCTTCCTCTAACTGGCAGGTTCAGCTGCTACCGATGGAACCCAGGAGCTGCCCAGTCCTTGACTTCTGGGGACTAAATGGCCAGAGCCCTTTACATGATTGTTTTTAAGTGCACATTCTATACCTCTCTGGGGTTTCCCTGAGGGAAAACAGTGCCAGGAGACAGACAGATGGCGTCATTGTAGGCTGTTCACATTTTCCTCATCAGTAGTTTAAAGCTGTGAGCTTTTAACAGGCTTTCTGTTTAATAAAAAATGATGGCACCTGTTGGCACCCACCAGAACATAGCATTACTGAACCATAATGCTCCTAACCCAGTTAACGGTGCGTCCCCCACCTGCTGCAGAGGGACAGCCTCCCACCTACCCGGGACTCCAAGTGGTGGGCATTCAGGCTACCCAGTGCTGGCCAAGGAGGCCCAGTCCCTGCACGATTTCAGAGCTTGGCTCGGCCCTAGGCCCTTGCAGGTTGGCCTGCTCTGCTCCTGTAACTTGGGGAGACAGTGAGACTGCACCCATGTCCTGGAATTTGTCACCTCCCATGTTCCCAAAATGGAGCTAGAGATATGGGGCCTGGAACTCCTCTCACGTCTCATGTCCCCCAGCTGCTTCTGTGCGGTCTGTTGACCAAGCTGTGTGGCTGTGCCCCACACGCTAGGCCCCTGGCGTGATCTCAGGGAGGTGACGTTACACCATCCCCATCACCCACCTTGTACTGAGGGAGAGAGGGGTCTTCAGCGGGGTCTGGCTGGGGGTTTGCAGGGGCTGCCCCACAGGAACACTGAGCACTGACTGACACGTCGCCTGCTGCCTGCCTCACCCCTGCATCTGTGTCCCCTGTGGGTGGGGTCAAACGGGACATTAGATTACACCTGGTCCTTGGGAGAAACCACAGTCTCCCACGGCCACAGTGGCGGGTTGGGGTGGGGAAGTCAATTGGCAAGACTGTGAGGGAAGTGAAGAGAGAAACAGGGCGCCCCGCCCCCCACATTGAACAACTGGAAAGTGATCTGTGGTGGAGTATAGACCCAACAGCCTGTGCACCACTGCTCAGATGCCCAAGCCAGGGCTCCTGGCCCTCTGGGCCTTCTAGTGCAGCTTCGTGGTTACAGGAGCTGGTGGCGGACAGGGAGGGTTCTCAGGGCACTGAGAACAGAGGGGGAGGGTGGGAGATAGGCTGTGAGCTTGGGCCTCTGCCCTCTCCCTTCCATGACAGGTGTAATCTAAGCTTAACTTACCCCCCCCCACCTTGGAGGCTGCACAAGTCCTTGGCACCCCCCAGCTCTCATTCACATATCCATTTTGGAGTCCAGAGAACCAATCACTTTTTTCTCTCACCCCAAAATGCCCCCACAGACCCTCTTCCCCACCTGCGGCTTGCTCGATGTGTTAACCGTGTGACACTGTCGGACCCTCTACCTAGCGCTTCAACCAGATCACTTCACTGTTTTGAGTTTTCTTCCCCACTCACCCCTCCTGTCCCTGCCCACCTACCCCTCACCCTCAAACCCCCACTTTTTGAGTTTTGGTTTCTGCCTCTCTTCCTGCCTGGGGGAGGGGCCGTCTCCTGGTTGCTTTGATGGTTTTTCAGTTGGTTTGATTTTTTCTTTTTTTTGCCATGTGAATCGGGGTTTGAAGCGACCATCCCCTCCTGACCTGCCACTACCATCCCCCACCCCTGCCACCCAACCCTCCTGACCCCACTCGTCCACGCGGGTTCCCCCTGCTGGGACCCTCCCGGCTACTCGGTGACCAGAAGCGCTGGGGACCAGAGCCAGCTGGAGCGTGCCGAGGACCAAGGCTGGTGTTGCCCCTTATAACCCGCCTGGACCCTCCTTTCAGGTCGGTAATTTGGGGCGGGGGTCCCACGGGGCCTGTCCGTCCTGTGGGCTCTGTGCCCACTTTATTTCATAATGTGCACCTCAAGCCTGCAGCCAAGGGGTGGAGGAACAAAGCGGGTGGGCGACCGCCCAAAACTGGGCAGAACACAGCATCAGCCATCACCCCCACTGGCTGGGAGGGTGCACCGAGGGGATGAGAGCCATCTTCTGCCTACAGCACCCTCCGCTGCAGACTCTGGCAAACCAACCCACTTCCTGAAGGACATAGAAACCAATACGGGGTCATGGAGGCCAGTGAGCAGCTTCTGTGGATGCCCCAGATACCTTCACAGCTGACTGACATGCCCATGTAATGAATGATGGGAGCTATCATTTAACCGATAGTGGCTGGCCATTTAACTGATAGCCACCAGCCATTTAACTGGCAGTGGCTGGCCATTTAACCTATAGCAGCCGGCTGTTTAACTTTTAGAGGCTGGCCATTTAACTGACAGCCGCTGGCCATTCAGCTGGTAGTGGCTGGCCACCTCAGGGACAATGAACATTAAAATGACTTGTGGTCCTATCCAGCATTTAATGGCCACAGTCACAGCCCTGGATGGAAACTGTGTATTCAGGTGGCCTGTGGCTTCTGTATTCTGAAAGCTGAAGTCTTTTCCACGCAGTAGTGCCCTTGACATAAACTAAGGTCAGGTCTCTTTTGATGACTGAAGTGAGCCGTGTAAGCTCTGGGCTCTGCCCCTGGAGGGTTGTACACATTTGCATAGGAGCGGTTCACCTGTAGCCTCTGAGTGTGACAGGTCCCTCAGCTAGGGCCCATGGCTCACTTGACCAAGTGCTTTCACCTCTTCTGGGTCCCCAGTAAAGACACATACATTTAAAGGAACCCAGACAGTGAGAAAGAGACATTCAACTGTCCTTGCTGCTCCTGTATGAGTGTCGGGGAGTGGGCAGGAGTGGCTTTGAGGTTAGCAACTGCTCGATCTTGTTAGCTTCGTCACCTCTCTGATCTGCTGTCTCCTGCAAACTGGGCTTGTTAAGTGGGATCAAATGGGGCAAATGTTCAACCAAGATCTTCAACTCACGGACAGCTGTAAAAGTGGCACATCTGAGCTTGTCATCCTAGCACTCAGGAAGCTAAGGCTGGACCATTGCCATGAGTTGGAGGTCAGCCTGGGCTACAGAGCAAGATCCTGTCTCTTCAGATTGCTGTTGGTTGGTTAATTGGTTGATTGATTGATATAGCAGATAGATAATAGCTACTGGGGATGATAGATGGCAACACTGGGAGTTTGGACAAAAATGTTGGCAACTAGCTGCCTGTGCTGGGTGAGGACCTGGGCTCTTACCCCCTGCGGTCGTCTCTGCTGATACACAAGGAGGCTTAGACCGAGGGTGAAGGCCTCTGCCTCTGGGTTCTAGTGTATTGTTCCCCGTGTGAGGTTCAGGGGCATCTAGAGAGACGGGGTTCTGGGTCTGGGTTGGTCTGCCCTGAGGAAGCCTTCTCTGGGGGCTTTTGCCCCTCTGGTGCCTCACTGCCCAGCCAAGGACCCTGGGTGCTGGGTGGTGAGACTGGATGCTGTGTTCTGCTGGCGGGGAGGGGCCCGGGCATCTCCCTGGGGCAGCCACAGTCCTCCTCTGTTCAGACCCCGATTTTCAACCCCACACCCATTCCATGTTTCTCTTGCTTTGAGTGTTGTTTCCTCTCAGGGTGCTTTGTTTGGTCTTTAGAGTGAGTTTTTTTTTTTTTTTTTTTTTTTTTTTTGCTTTTTTATTTTTTTGAAATTTGTTGCCTCCCCCACCCCCTCCTGGTTTTGATTTGGACGTCAAATGCCCATTTTCTGTCCTGGATTAATTAGCCTCTCCACACTCATTCCCACTCATTCCGTTTCCATGACAACGCAGCCACAGCATCTCCCACCCTGAGCCGCTGTGGATGCTGGCAGCAGGTGGCCGGCTGGACCCCGATGCTGCCACCCCTGCTTCTCACCCTTCACCCAGCCCTGTCGGAACTGTGCCCCCATCCCTGCCCCACCCCCTCACCTCCAGCCTGCATGGCCCTGTGTCTTCCCTACCCCTCCCCTCCATCCCGTGTCTTCCACGACTCTGGACTTTTTGTGGGGCTACGTTTTCCGAAGGGCTCCAGCCTGCAGACCTTCACTCTCATCTCAGTGGCACTCCTGTCCCCATCTCCTTTGACTTCCACTTGGATTCAGGAAGCAACTTGGGTGTCCACCTAAAGGGCCAGACTGGAAGGAATGGCACAGGCTGGCTTCTCTCCCCCTTAGTAGAGCAGATTAACCCTTTAACAGCAGTTAAGGGCAAGTGCCCTCATTGAGGCTGTACCCCTAGAACCGTGCGACAGTGGAGTGGCGACAGCCTTCATGTGTCCTCCTAGGTTGGGACTCAGCCTGTCAGAGTCTTCACACACCCCAGGCCATGCTCTCACCCCTTGACTTCTTTGGGCTCCGGCTGGGTGTCACTCCAAGCCTCACCCCTGGGGAGGAAGCTACACTTTGAAGCTCGGGTCTCCTTAGTGTCCCACTCTCACCTCAGAGCCCTACCAGCTTCCGAAAACGGAGCCCTGGAAATGTCCTGCTGCCTTCCGAGCCCAAGAGGCCCCCGAAGAAGGTGGCATCCATCCCCACCCTCTAAGGAACGCAGTGAACATGCCCCTGTGCCTAACGTTCCAGCTCATTGGCTCCTTACTGTTAAGAATTCTCAATGATGAGTTACTATTAAACATCCTGTTTATGGCTCTGCCAGGGCTGATGTGGCAATGTGGCCAGTCGCATCGTGTCACATCTGCTAGAGTGTACCGTGCAGCACTGAAGCAGGTCCTCCCCTCTGTCTCTGTCCCTGTCCCCATTCTCCTGCTCTCTTTCTCTCTTTCTCCTTCTCTCCTCTCCTCTCCCCTCCCCTCATCTCTGCTGCCCCCACTATCCTGAGATCCATACTCCCCTTTCATCATCATCACCTCTCCCCTCCCTCCCCCCTCTCTCTTTCTCTCTCTGTCTCTCTCTCTCTCTTCTGCATGATGTTTGTGATTTTTGAGAGCTGCATCTATTGATGGAAACTTGTCCAATCCGGCAGAAGCTTCAAGCTTTAGGAGGGTTTCTAACACCCCAAAACCACAAAAATTTCATTAGCATTTTTCTCATCTTTCCCTTGGGAGATCAGATCAGGAGGCCATGGAGTTCCCTGGTCCTCTCACCTCCCAGGCTCCTAACCTTCTATGTTCAGGTTCTGTCCTCATTTCTCAGGAGGGTGGCAAGCCACATCCCTGCAACCCCATTGTGTGTCTCCAACCCCAGCACTCAGCATCAGAAAATTATAGAACCTTCCATGGTAGTTGCCTCTTCTGGGGAGGCCTCACAGGGGGCCTCTCACTGGAGCCACATCTCTCCACAAAGATGAGAAACTGCCGATAAATTTTTGTGTGTACTTCCGTGCTGCGATCAGCAACTGCTGGTCCGGGAAACCCTGTTGCTATGAGATAACGCTTCGTGTCTCACTCTCGGTAGATCTATATTGTTTGTGAAGTTCCTACCTTTGAAGTTTCCTTTGTGTTGGAATTTGTTTTTATAATTTGTTTGGTTTAGTTTTTTTTTGTTGTTGTTCTGTTTTCATTTGGGGGAATGAGTGACGTGGGGACTGTAATGGCCCTGTTTATATTTAAATGGCTTTCTACCCTTTCCCCCCCTTTTTCTCTTCCCTCCTCTTCCTGTCCTTTCCCCACTGCCAAAACCGCCGCCTGCCTCCCCAGTCCGCCGTGTGGCCCCCCGCTTCTCCATCCTCCCCATGAGCCACGAGATCATGCCCGGTGGGAACGTGAATATCACTTGTGTGGCCGTGGGCTCGCCCATGCCCTATGTGAAGTGGATGCAGGGGGCCGAGGACCTGACGCCTGAGGATGACATGCCTGTGGGTCGGAATGTTCTGGAACTCACGGATGTCAAGGACTCAGCCAACTATACGTGTGTGGCCATGTCCAGCCTGGGTGTGATTGAGGCTGTGGCTCAGATCACTGTAAAATGTAAGTCAGGTCCACAGTGGGGGCGGGGTGGACGTGACACAGCCCTGACCCTGACACCAGCATGGGCAGAGCTGAGAAGCAGCAGGTGTAACTGGCTAGAGGGTGTGGGACAGATGCTGGGGATGACCACGGACTTTGGAACTGAGGCAGGAGGATCAGGGGACTTGAAGCCAGCTAGGGCTGCACAGCAAGCATTGAGAACCCAGGATGGAGCTCTCCATTTCCTGTCAGGGTCAAGTCTGAGAAGGGGGTTGGTTTGGTGGGAAGTCTAAAAGTTAAACAGATGGTTCAGTCACTGGGCTGAGGGAAGCCTGTGCCAAAGCCCTGAGGCTCAGGGGAGGGGACTGAAGATCCCTGGTGGCTTGAGTGAGAATCCAACACCAAGCTTGAGGGCTCAATGAGCCCTGGCCCTCCCCTTACTTAGATGACATGAAGTGTTTTGAAGTAGCCTCACATTTACTTATATCTCATCTTTGATAACTGTGAGGCTGTAGGGTAGAGTTGAATTCAAACACTGGGCCAGTGCACAGCGAGCCTCAGTCACTGCTGGCCCGTTGGTTGTGCTGAAGCTTAAATGTGTAACCGACAGACCTTGTGGTGTTTGAGGTATAACAGCTGGGTGTAAAACCCCAGCTGACAGGAAAACAGATGGAAATGACAGGGTTGTGGGTGTCACGGTGTGAGCCACAGGTAGGAGGAAGGTGGGAGCCACACCTATTTAGGGACAGTGTTGCAAGTGTGGAGTGGAACTCAGGAAGCCCTATGTGACTGAAAGCATGAACCACAGAGAGAGCCAGTCCAGGGCTACACAGAAGGCTCCTAGGGGAAGATACTGCTCCTCTGTAAATGTCTTCTGTTTTCGCAGACTGGGGGCAGGACAGGGCCTTACTGTGTAACCCAGGCTAGTCTCAAATTGGCATCCTCCTGCCTCAGCCTCTCAAGTCCCAAGATAACAGATGAGCTCCACCACAGCTGCTTGCAAATACTGTCCTGGTGGCCCATGCCTGTTATCCCAGCACTCAGGAGGTGGGACAGGAGGGCCAGTGCAAAGCCATACTCGCTACATAGTGAGGTCAAGGCTAGCCTGAGATACCTAAGGTCCTATGATTTTATTTTTTGAAGTAAGTATTTTTAAGCCTTACCTTAACTTCTGTGTCCACTCTTCTCTGACATGGTAGTGTGAAAGCCAGTCATTGCCAGTGTCATAGTTATGTACTAATAAAGCTTTATTTTAAAGCTTTGAAAATCTGAATGATGAGATGAGATCGGTGGGCTTGTGGATTTGCTGAGGAGACTGAGCCTTAGGTGGGTGTGTGGTCTTGAGTCATCCTACCTCCCTCCTGCAGCTCTCCCCAAAGCCCCTGGGACTCCCGTGGTGACGGAGAACACCGCCACCAGTATCACCGTCACATGGGACTCAGGCAACCCCGACCCCGTGTCCTACTACGTAATTGAGTATAAGTCCAAAAGCCAGGATGGGCCATATCAGATCAAAGAGGACATCACCACCACACGTTACAGCATCGGCGGCCTGAGCCCCAATTCCGAGTATGAGATCTGGGTGTCGGCTGTTAACTCCATCGGCCAGGGTCCCCCCAGCGAGTCAGTGGTGACCCGCACAGGCGAGCAGGCACCAGCCAGCGCTCCCAGGAACGTTCAGGCACGCATGCTCAGTGCCACCACCATGATCGTGCAGTGGGAGGAGCCAGTGGAGCCCAATGGCCTGATCCGTGGCTACCGTGTCTACTACACCATGGAGCCCGAGCACCCGGTGGGCAACTGGCAGAAGCACAATGTGGATGACAGCCTGCTGACCACCGTGGGCAGCCTGCTGGAGGACGAGACCTACACCGTACGCGTGCTTGCCTTTACCTCAGTGGGCGACGGGCCGCTGTCAGACCCCATCCAGGTCAAGACACAACAGGGAGGTGAGGTCTGGGCGTAGGTCCCCACATGCCAGTCTACCATGGGTTTTGTGCCAGAGACAAAAAGACAGGGTCCCCGAGTTCAATTCCCAGCAACCACATGCCTTTCAAGCATCTGTAATGAGATCTGGTGCCCTCTTCTGATGTACAGGCATACATGCATGCAGAACACTGTACACATAATAAATAAATCTTTAAAAAAAAAAAAGACAGGGTCCCAGTGCCTGGCCTACCGAAGGCTAGCTCATCTGTTTATCTCTTGACTGCCAGGTGCCCCCCTCCCCCACACTCACTGGGGAGGAGACCCCACACACACTGCCATTCTAGTGTCTTTTCCTAA